AAAAAAAAAAAAAAAAGAATGTGAACTCTTTGAACGCAAAAACCACACTTAGTGCCTAGCACGGAGCCTTATACTCAGCTTTGCTGAATACGTGAATGAATGTATGTGTGTTTATTTTAAGAGGGATGTGTCAGTATCCTAGTTTGGATAGCAAGATTCATTTTTGTCTATGGGTTCACATGGTTTTGAAAGCTCAAGGACAGTTTGGCTTATTTGGTATTGGACTAATCCTGATTACAAAAGTCAAGGAGTGCTAATGATTTCTTCTGTTTCCCTCCTCTAAGGAATGCTGGTACTCAACCTCTGAGTTAAAAGAAGACCAATGGCTTCAGATGATCTTGAGTCTCCCGTCATGGGAAAAAATTGTAACAGGCAAGGTAAACACCCAGGATATTCAAAAAAACAAATTCCTGATGAGAGCTGATATCATGGACAATCATTTCTAACATGTCAAAGAAAAAAGATTTTAGTAAGCACTATGTCCTTGTGATGATCTATTATTGACCTTTCTCTGTGGCTGGCCCCTCCAGGTTCCTACATAAGCTCTTCTGTTCCAGGCACAGACCAGACGTGTTGATTTCTTCTCTTTCTGGTCAAAAAGGGTCAGGAGTGTTACACTTTACTTCCTCCTAACATTATAAAAATTGACCTTACCATTCATGTTGTTTTAGCTTGATCTATTTCAGCCCACGCAAAGTTGTATCATATGAGAAGTTATTAATCTCAAGATGGTATAACATCATGTGTTGCAACAGACATGTTTCTAGTTAGTATATTAACTGAAAATATGTATTTTTAAATATCCAGTTGTTAAGTCTTTTGGAGGTAGCACAGTATTACAAATAGCAAACATTTGTCATGGTCTATAAAGACAGAAAAAGAAAAGATACGTTTGTAGGACCTGGCTGCAGCTTCCAAAGCCAGGGTGATGTCTTAGCCCCTCTCACCATGTGCATCAAATATCAAATCAATTTTTAATATCAGATAAATAAGTTTAATACAAAATAAAGACCAAGTTTTAAAAATTAACATATTAATAATTTTTATGTGGGTATCTTTTACATATTTAGAGTTTGCATTTTTTTTTATATTTAAGAAATAACATTCATCTTCATCATTTCCTAGATGCAAAAGCAAAGCTGTGCATTTTTTCTCCTGGTAACATAACTGAGTTCCACAAAGGAGGTTGGACAGACTCAGATGGTACCACGAGCTTAACCACAGAGCCCTGCTGGCCTGGCATAGAGGGAAGAGCTCCAAGCTAAGATCAGAATATTAGGTTCGAACATAAGCTCTGCCATAGACACACTTGATTCCTGCCTGATACATATTCCCTGCCTGATAAACATAATCTCCCTATTTTAGTGCATTTTGGTGAGTATTGAATAAAATGGTGGAGGTTAAAAAGTGTTGAAAATTACAGTGTGCCATACAAATAAAAAGAAACTAATATTAGACAGATGACTGATTTTAAAATAAACACGTCAAATACTAAACTTTGATTAAGTGTTGTCCCCTCCAAAGCTGTCATCCTGGAAGCTGCATGCTCTCCCCACGCTGCGACATAGAAATCCCTTGCTTTCTAATTGCCTTATTTTGTACTTTATTCATTCTCTCACTTATTCATTCCACTAACATTTTCCAACTTATTACTGTGTACTAATCCCTGATTAAGTACTGGAGATTAAGATATAAAAACATGAGGGACACAATTCTTGACCTCAGCAAGCTCACTTGTCCAACAGAAGAAACAGATGCACACAAAAACCTCACTGAGCCCATTCTACTGTAATATGATAGAGCTGTGTTCAAATCCTGCATGGTGGAAGGAGTAACACATACAAAACCTGGACATCTCGAAGACTCAGCTGAACTGCCTCTGAGTTCAGATTTATTTCTATTACATTGTCATAATAAGCTAATGCCTTAATCATAACAATTCCTTACATTTGTACAACTCTTTATAAAGAGTTCTGGGACCTGCTCTTATCTTCTCCCTGCAAACCCTGAATGGTGAGAATGGTAGATGCTCTGGCTTGCCTGAGATCATCTGGCCAGTAAGTGGCTGAACTCGAGCCTAAATCCAGAAATTGTGTGCCCATGTCCACGCATATTCAAACCCGCTTTTCTGGCTCTCTGTCTTGGCTTCTGCAAACCATCAGGAAACAGTGTTTTCTGTCTTAAAAATCGCTTTGACCATCTAAATATTCAAGTTCCCTTTAGCTTCCACAAAATGAACCTAGTTCTACTCTTTGGAATCATACAGAATAAACTTAAACTTGTTCCTCACTGACCCCTTCAAAGCCTCGAACATACCTCTTGTGGTTCTCTTGAGCCTTCTCCAAGCTACATACCTCTGGTTCCTTCTGCTTCTCCTACCATCTCCTTGTTTTCGGTTCTCTCAGTATCCTGGTCACTTGTCTCTGAATATATTCACATTTATCTCTATTTCACTTATATATAAGCAATAGAATGGCCAATTTGGAATATGAGAGGACTCTTACTTCTTTTGTTTTACCTGGAAGAGTCCTGTAGAACCACTTGCCTTCACCTTTTTTTTTTTTTTTTTTTGGAGACAGAGTCTTGTCACCCAGGCTGGAGTGCAGTGATGAGCAGCAACCTCCACCTCCCAGGTTCAATCAATTCTCCTGCCTTAGCCTGCCAAGTAACTGGGACTACAGGTTTGCTAATTTTTGTATTTTTAGTAGAGACGGGGTTTCACCATGTTGGTCAGGCTAGTCTTGAACTCCTGACCTCATGATATGCCCACCTTGGCCTCCCAAAGTGCTGGGACTATAGGTGTGAGCCATCATACCTGACCACACCTTCACTTTTATGGCAGCCATTTTTGGAGTCATTGTGGACATATTCCAATTATCTGGAAGATAATCCCAAGTTGGCTACTTAACTATCAGTGCCTTAGTTTCCTCATCTGTATGTGGAAATAATAATAGTACGTATTGCATGGAGTTTTTTGGGGTTTTTTTTTAGAATTACAATGAAAAACACTGCCTGGGACTGGGTGCAGTGTCTCACGACTGTAATTTCAGCACTTTGGGAGGTTGAGGCTGGTGGACTGCTTGAGCTCAGGAGTTCAAGACCAGCCTTGGCAACATGATGAAACCCTGACTCTACCAACAAAATACAAAAAAGGTTAACTGGTTGTGGTGGCACATGCTTATAGTCCCAGCTACTCAGGAGGCTGAGGTGGGAGGATTGCTTGAACCTGGGAGATGGAGGTTGCAGTGAGCAGAGATTGTGCTATTGCATTGCAGCCTGGGCTGCAGAGTGAGAATGTCTCAGAAACCTTTTTTTCAAAAAAAAATTTAAAAAAACCACTGCCTGGTATACAGAAAGAGATCAATAAGCATTAGCCTTTAATACTGTCACATGTATTCTAACAAGTTCTCCCCATCCTGTACTAGTTTTTTTTTTTTTTTTTTTTAAAGAGAACAGATGGTGCAGACAGGAAACAAGCCCATTGTGGTCCGATATTAGCTAGTGAGAGACAAGTAAACTAAAACGTGTCTAAATGCTGATGGGCAAAGGAAGGTAGGCCTTTGGACACTCTCTGGATGGTAGCCTTTATCTCTAGCGTATGCCTTCCTTATTGGGTTATACTTGTTCCTTCTCTTGAAATATCCTGCTCCCTGTGTTAAGCCTTCCTGGTGGTAACTGCAGGCAGTGATCACGATAGAGTCAAGTCATCACCTTGGAGTTTAGCATCGTCTGGTTGCCACTCTGCATTGCTTGACCATAGACTCGGGACAGTACGCTGGGGTTCTGCCCCTACCACCTTAGTCTGGTTCATACTCAGCTGCACGACAGCGTGAGTCCCACCCCGTGCCCTTTGTGAACTGCAGGCAAGTACTCACATTTCCTGTAACTCAATACCACCAGGCTTCCCTGTGATTTTGATTCTATGGGTAGATAGTGCTAATGAGTGTTAGGATTTCTAAAACTAATCATTTATCTCCCAAATTATTAAAAAACTAAAGCATACCACACACCTATGAGAATGGCCAAAATCTAAAACACCAAATACTGGCAAGGGTGTGGAGTGACAGGAGCTCTCACTCATGGCTGCGGGGAATGTGAAGTGGTGCAGCCACTTTGGAAGACAGTTTTACAGTTTTTTAGCAAACCAGGCATACTCTTACCATACAATTCAGCAGCTGTGCTTTTTGGCATGTACCCAATGAACTGAAAACTGATATCCATGCAAAACCCTGCACAAAGACGTTTATAGCAACTTTATAATTACTGAAACTTGGAAACCACCAAGATGTCCCTCAGTAAGTGAATGGATAAACTGTGGTCAGCCCAGACAATGGAATGTTATTCAGCACTAAAAAGAAATCAGCTATCAAGCCATGAAAAGACAGACAAGAACCTTAAATGCCACTGAGTGAAAGGAGCCAGTCTGAAAAGGCTACATGCTCCATGGTTCCAACAATATGACATTCTGGAAAAGGCAAAAACTATGGAGACAGTGGTTGCCAGAGGGGTGGGAGGAGGAGAGATGAACAGGAGGAACATAGGGGATTTTTAGGGCAGTGAAACCATTTCGAAGAGGGATACACATCATTATACATCTGTTCGAACCCGTAGAATGTATAACAGCAGAGTGACTCATTTATTTATTTATTTTTGAGACAGAGTCTTGCTTTGTCGCCAGGCTGTAGTGCAATGGCGCAACGTCGGCTCACTGCAATCTTTGCCTCCTGGGTTCATGCGATTCTCCTACCTCAGCCTCCTGAGTAGCTGGGATTACAGGCGCACACCACCACATCCGGCTAATTTTTTGTATTTTTAGCAGATACGGGGTTTCACTATGTTGGCCAGATTGGCCTCGAACCCCTGCCCTTAAGATCCGCCCGCCTCGGCCTCCCAAAGTGCTGCGAAGTAGAGTGACTCTTAATATAAATTACGGACTTTGGGTCAAAATGTCTTGTCAATGTGGGTTCATCAATTGTATCAAACGTACCACTCTTGTAGGAAATGCTGTTAGCAGGTGAGGTTGTGAGTATGTGAGATCAGGGGGTGTGTGGAAATTCTCTGCCTTTCACTTAATTTTGCTATGAGTCTAAAACTGCTCCATAAATAAAGTTTATTAATTCAAAAAATACCTAAGGCATATGTTGACCAGCTCCTTTTCCCTCCACAGAGCTAGGCTGCCCCATTCCCCAGTGCTTCCCCTGCCCTGGAAGTGCAGTGATTGAGAACTGGTTTTAAAAAGAAAAAAGAGGAAAGGGGAGGGGAGGAGAGAGGGGGAGAAGGGAGGAGGGAAGGGAGGAGGGCGGGAGACGGGAGGAGGGGGGAGGGATGGGGAGGGAGGGAAGGGGGAAGGGAGGAAAAAAAGGGACGGGAGGAGAGGGGAGGGATGGGGAGAGGAGAAAAAAGAGGAGGGGGTGGGGAAGAGAAGAGAGAAAGGAAAAAGCAAGAGAAGACTATACTGCAATTTGAAGGTTGTAAGTTCCATGTGCCTGAATCCAGAGGAGCGTGCGACAGGTTTTACAGGAAGCCTGTACTTGGTTCCGGTTCTGACTATCCCACAAACGGTTACGTGATCTTGGGCAAGTCCCTTTTTCATCAGTTTCCTATCTCTAAACAAAGCGAGTTGTGATAAAATCCCTTCCCTCCCCGTCTGGCTGTGATTCAGCCCCCTAACAACAGGATGGGTGTGGGGGAACCTGCATTGGCCAGCAGGTGGCAGCACTGGCTCCTTTCTGTGGCTGCTGCCAAGGAACCATTTCTAGTCACGCTCTGGACGCTTTATCTTCAGACCTGCAGCTTCAGCACTTGGCACCTCTGCCGCGACCCTCCTTACCTATAGGAAGCTTCCAGCATGACGTCCCTGGGGCATCCTGGATAGAATTATTTTTAGGAGAAGGCAGACATGCAGACATAAATAATCCGTAAAGGCTTCAGGAACAGGAATGAAAAAGTTGATGATCTTTTAAAAATATTTTTTTTAT